GCACGCCAAAGGTACAATAGCCACATTGGGGGACCATGCTTATGTCTCTCTGGAAGGAAGAAGTGTGTGTGGGAGGAGGACAGGAGGCCGTTCTTTGAGGCTCTCTGTGGGCCTTTCTTTCCAGCCAGAATTGTTCACCTTTCTTTCCTTCCTGTTCCAGCTAACAGGAGTTTTGATAGGCTAAGGGTCTTTTGCCAGTGTTTTAGAGCAGTTGCGCTCAATCTTTCCAGACTACTTGTACCCCTTTCAGGAGTCTGATTTATCTAGCGTACTTCCCAAGTTTCATGTCAGTTAAAACCTGCTTGCTTACAAAATCAGACCTAAAAATACAGACATGTCACCGTGCACTATTGAAAAATTGCTTATTTTCTTATTTTAACCATATAATTATAAAATAAATTTGAATATAAATATTGTGCTTACATTTCAGTATATAGTATATAGCACGATATAAACAATTCATTGTCTATGAAATTTTAGTTTGTACTAACTTCACTGGTGTTTTTTATGTAGCATGTTGTAAAACTAGGCAAATATCTAGATGAGTTGATGTACCCCCCTGAAAGACCTCTGCATACCCCTAGGAGTATGTGTACTCTTGGTTGAGAACCACTGTTTTAGAGGAACAGGGGAATTCCTGTTGCCAATTCCTCAGCACAGTTAGCAGTTGAAGTGAGGCTCAGTGCTTTAGTCCCTATTCCTGATCTGAATAGTGTGCTTGCATCCTCTCCCATGCTTTCCAGTAGCACTGGGAATCGCTGTCTAATGAGATTTGTGGCTGATTTAAAGCAGGGTCTTGTTTTAGCCAGTTTTTTGAGTTTTCTTTTTCTCCATTTTCCCCCCCTCCTTCTTTGAGGAGGAGAACCTCAAGTCTTCCAGAATGCATATGTGATGCTTTAGAACAGTGGTCTCCAGACTTTACAGGTTTGCACCCCCCGCCCCCCACTCCAGTGGAGAGCTAGGAGCGGGGCTGGCCGAGTCCTAGGGTTTGCCCGGTTTTCAACTGGGAAGTCAGGTCGAAAAGGGGACCTGACAGTGCCCAGTCAGATGTACTGACCGGACACCAAAAGTCCAGTTACCGCACGGCACGGGGAGGTGCCTGGTCATTAACCCATGTTAGCCACTGCTCAGCCTAAGCTGGCCTCCTACCTGCAGGCAGGCTTCTTTTCAGGCTCTCCCAGCCCCAGAGCAGAGGGAGCCCAACGGGGGGGCGGGAGGGGGAAGAAGATGTTAGAGCGAGTGATGATGGGGAGATGTGGGGGAGAGGAGCATGTGATAGGGGAGGCAGAGCGGGCTGGGACCTTGGGGGAAGTGGTGGGTCAGGGCCTCAGTGGTCCAGTTACCAGCAATTAGAAAGGTGGCAACCCTACCCCCCCGCACTCCCCAAACATTCCTCCATGCCCCTTAGGGGCGCATACCCCATAGTTTGAGGACCTCTGCTTTAACAGCTGGAGGCCACCAGAAACCTTGCATGGAGAGTTGTTTAAAACTTTTCCAAAGACCTGTTGGCCATTGTCATCAGCTGTGAAAATCACACATGTTGCGCTCAGCTGAAAAGCTTGCTGCTCTTGCCAGAAAAACCTATCTGAGGAAAAAGTGAGATCCTTGTTGCTTGATATAAAAAAAAAAATTTCCTCCTTACACAACCTGTTTTGAATGTCTCACTCAGTTTGATGGGGAGCTATGGCCTAAATGAAATATGAAGGGATCCGAAATTACCTTCCTTATTGTTCAACATCTATTCCCTCCAAATACAAGGTATTACTGTTGTCAATACCTTTTTAGTTTCTTGCAAAGATTGTTGGAAGGAAAACCTGCTTTGCTCTTTCAGTACATATCACTTGCAAGGCCACACAGTGGAAGGTTTTCTGATGACTTGAAATCATTCTGACAAGTTTTCAGCCTGTGGTTCATAGACTCAAAGACTTCAATTTTAGAAGGGACCATCATGATCTAGTCTGACGTCTGCATATTGCAGGTCATGGAACCTCACCCACCCACTCCTGTAATAGACCCCTAACCTCTGGCTGAGTTACTGAAGTCCTCAAATCATGGTTAAAATACTTAGTTACAGAGAACCGACCATTTACACTAGTTTAAACCTGCAAGTGACCCTGTGCCCCATGCTGCAGAGTTAGGTGAAAACCCCCCAGGGTCTCTGCCAATCTGACCCAGGGAAAAATTCCTTCCTGACCTCAAATATGGTGATCAGTTAGACTCTGAGCATGTGGGCAAGATCCACCAGCCAGACACCTGGGAAAGAATTCAGTAGTAATTCAGAGCCCTCCCCATCTAGTGTCCCATCACCAGCCTTTGGAGGTATTTGCTGCTAGCAGTCGCATATCAGCTGCATGCCGTCGTAGGCAGTCTCATAATACCATCCCCTTCATAAACTTTTCAAGCTCAGTTTTGAAGCCAGTTAGGTTTTTGTCCCCACTGCTCCCCTTGGAAGGCTGTTCCAGAACATCACTCCTTTGATGGTTAGAAATCTTCATCCAATTTCAAGCCTAAATTTGTTGATGGCCAGTTTATATCCATTTGCGTCAACATTGCTCTTAACTTAGATAACTCCTCCCCCTCCCTGGTATTTATCCCTCTTATGTATTTATAAAGAGAAATCATATCTCCCCATAGCCTTCTTTAGCTTAGGCTAAACAAGCCAAGCTATTTGAGTCTCCTCTCGTAAGGTAGGCTTTCCATTCCTCGGATCATCCTAGTAGCCCTTGTCTGCACCTGTTCCTGTTTGAATACATCTTTATTAAATATGGGAGACCAGAATTGTACACCATATTCCAGATGAGGTCTCACCAGTGCATAATGGTACTAACTTCCCTATATCTATTGGAAATAGCTTGCCTGATGCATCCTAGGTCTGCATTAGTCTTTTTCACATCTGCATCACATTGATGACTCAGTCATCCTGTGGTCAACCAATAAACCCAGGTCTTTCTCCTCCTCTCTCACTTACAACTGATACGTCCCCAGCTTACAGGAAAAATTCTTGTTAGTCCCTAGATGCATGACCTTGTATTTTGCGCTATTAAATTTCATCCCATTTCTATTACTCCAGTTTACAATGTCGTCCCAGATCATCTTGTAAGATATTCCGGACTTCCTCTGTATTGGCAATACCTCCCAATTTTGTGTCATCGGCAAATTTTATTAATACGCTTAGACTGCCTAAGATTTCCAAAGGGGTCCACACCTCAATTTGAAATTTTTAGGGGTCTGCAAATGAAGAGGTTGAAAATCACTGTTTTGTGATGCTGCCAACAGGGAGCTCAGAAGCAGGATATAAACTCTGTCTGTCATTCTTGTATTAAAGATAGCTGGGATCTCGGAACCAAACTTTTAGGTGTTAAAATATTTCAGATTTCACGTGATTTAAACTAAATATGGCTAAACATCCAACATATCTGTGCATTTATAAAGATGAGTTAATGCTAGTTGAGAGATCTTCATGCTAAGCAACAATTGTTTAAAAAAACATATGAAATAATCTAGTGCCTTAATATGATTTTTGTTCAATGTTTTTCGAGATCACACTTGTAGTTGCATATTTTTTTTAAGGAGCTAAAAATATCCAAATCACCTATTTAGATGCAGAACGCAGGAATTACTTCTCCTTTTGGTACTTTAGGTGTTAGTGATGATTCCTTTCTTTTTACTAAAAACGAAACTATGCAATAAGTGTGCTGAGCTATGCTACCAATCCAAAATTTGATTATGAACCAAATTTAAAAGCTGAATTATTCTCCCCTTCCAAGGTGTTATAAGGCAGGCTAAGGAAAGGCTGGATCTGTAAGTGTTGGAGTTTTCTTTCTTCTCGGTTCACACTATCACAGGATGAGGTTGTTATATACACTCGGTGACAATTCAAGTTGAAAGGCAGAAAACCTCCTACGCTTCTTACAAGTCTATTCCTTTGTTAATTTACCTTAAATGCCTTGGGATGACATTACCCCCAATCTTAACTACATCAGGATTTTTGTTTTTGATTGTGTGAATTCATTGTGTTCTAGGTTTTGGATAACGTTTGTTTTTATAGGTCTAAAATTTGACACACTTAAAATTTTAATCTGGCGAGCACTATTCTCCAAATGGTTTATTGATAAATTTAGTTTCCTAGATCAAATATACAATTTGAATCTACTCTGAGCTGCAACATTAGTTACTGATGTCATTTTAATGGAGAGGTGGTGCTCAAATGATGGGAAGAACAATGTACTGAATGAAAAAAAAATCAATGGCTGACTCATGCTCTATTTTAAAATTGGGCAAAAATTGATGTGTAGCAATTAGATGATAAAATCCCTTGGGAAAGTGTAAAGTTCTTGAGGGTCTAAGTTTATATTATGAATAACTTTTTTTAAAATGTAACTTGAGTATTGAAATGAGGGATGTAATCTTTACTATTTTGTAATTTTATGTAATACATAATAAAACAGTTCTAAAACGAAGTTTTTTTTTCCCTGATCTACTTGATCTTTTTTGGGGGTCGATGGGGTGGGGGGAGAGACTAAATGGGTTTGGGCAACATCCTATTATGTCTTGTTGCCAAGGATGTAAATGTCAGCTGGATACTGTTATATTGCTGAAAATCAGTTACTGTTTTCTGTGCTGGATTGTACATTTTGTTCTATTTATCTTGCTTCATAGTACAGTGGTATTAGTACCTAGGGTGTCTTGTGTAAGCTGATGGAAGTTTTTGGAGGCTGTTTGGTTTTTGTGATGATGTACAACATTGGACTGCTAGCTGTAGCTGAGTTTCTTTCTCACGCCTTCTATGGAATTTTGGGACAGCTATAGGAATGGTGTTTCATAGAGATTCAATAACAAGATGTTGTTTTAAAGCATTTTTCTATACAGCAGTGTTCTCCATGCATTCAGTATGAAAATGAGTCTCTTAAAAATGTAACTATGGTATAGTTCCCTTTTAAAATATATATGGACAAGATTCAAGAGTAAACTTTTTAAAATATGGGTCTCTTTAATTTTAGGTGCTGGAGATCAGAATTTATTCACTTCTGTATATCCCATGCTTTCTCAGCAGCTTCCAAAAGAACCTATGGAATGGAGAAGGTAGAGTATTTCCGCCCCTCCGCCCCCCATTGTTCTATTTTCATGCACGTTGTTGGATTTAGGAAAATGTTACTAATAATGTGACACTGTGCAGTGAATTGTGTTGGTTTGGAAGCTGAACAGGAGGAAAGATTTCTGGTTTTCAGAGCCAATTTTCCCTGAATTCCGGATGTTGGGCCCTTTGATATGTTTGTTCCCACATTTAACCCAGGCTGAATTTAAAATCATAAAGAGATTAGCGGCACTAAAGATTAGTTTTACTGGTATCTCCAGGTTGCACTTTGGGCAACCATGCTTTGAAGATAAGCCTGGTTCCTGCTTTAATGGGCATATGGGAAAGACTTAAAAACAGAATTGGGCTTTGGACCCTGTGACGTCCACAGTCAAAGGCCACCTCTAATTTTGGAGGAACACGAGAACATGTAAAGGAGAAGCTTTTTAACATGAAAGGTGGAAGTTTCCAGCCCTTTTCCTTGCAAAGAGAATATATATGTATCTTATTTTCAGAGAAAAGAGATGAATTTTTGAATCGATGCTACACAAATCAAACCATAGCGAGCACAGTTAAGTTTTGTGAGTTTTTTTTTAAAAAAAGCTAAATTTGTAGTAAATGTTTGCCCTGTCATTTCTGTTCTGCTTTTAGTTTTGCTGCTTACTTCTCAATTACTAATGGTAATTCTTTTAAAATTCTGCATAGGTCTTATGGACGTGCTCCTAAGATGATTCATCTTGAATCTAATTTTGTTCAATTTAAAGAGGAGTTGTTACCCAAAGAAGGAAACAAGGCTCTCCTGACTTTTCCCTTCCTTCATATTTATTGGACAGAATGTTGTGTAAGTATTAAGAAAATATTAAGTGTGAACCATGCACATAATAAGGTATGAGAGTGGAACTGAAGGTAAAATAAGCTCTGCCCTGTCCCAGTTTGGTAAATGGGATGTGCTGGTTCTACACTCTGTTCCTTATTCCAATTGGTTACATTTGTTACTACCAGGGTCACTAATGGGTGAGGGAGTTGCATTGTCCTAATATGAGACAAGTTTGATGTTATCAGATGGCACTTGAGAAGACTGAAGCTTTGGAGACCTTGAGTTTCTTAAGTGCATTAAATCACCAAGGTAATCTGTTGTGGTTTCTGATGGAAGGTGAGGTATGCAATATACTAAAACTAGCAGATTAGAACATAAGAACGGCCGTACTGGGTCAGACCAAAGGTCCGTCCATCCAGCCCAATATCCTGTCTACCGACAGTGGCCAATGCCAGGTGTCCCAGAGGGCATGAACCTAACGGGTAATGATCAAGTGATCTCTCTCCTGCCACCCATCTACACCCTTTGACAAACAGGCTAGGGACACCATTCCTTACCCATCCTGGCTAATAGCCATTAATGGACTTAACCTGCATTAATTTATCTAGTTCTCTTTTAAACCCTGTTATAATCCTAGCCTTCACAGCCTCCTCAGGCAAGGAGTTCCACAGGTTGACTGTGCGCTGTGTGAAGAAGAACTTCCTTTTATTTGTTTTAAACCTGCTGCCCATTAAATTAGGAAATCACTAATGTGCAAATCTGTCTTTGATAAATTAAGACATTACAGGAGATCTGGAAATTATGCCTCCTGATAGTGGGGAAATGGATGGAATGTAAGGATGGTATTATAAATGCTTTTTAAAGTATCGATGGTGAACTAAATGAAGGAAAAATCCTGCTCTAACCATCTAGAGTTATTTGAAAAGTTAACAAAATAATAAAGGTAACCACAAGAATGTAAAGAAAAGTAATAAAACGTGGTCAATATGTTATGGATTAAAAACTAATCAAGTACCAGATAAGTCATAGTGCATGGCAACATGTATGACTGCATAGTTTAATGTGGGGCACCATGGAAGTCTGTTTTGGGAACAATTGTATTAGTACAGGGGTCGGCAACCTACGGCATGCGAGCCGATTTTGAGTGGCATGCAGCTCCCTGCCGCGGTCCCGGTCCCCAGCCCCACTCAGCCCCTGCGCCCACTGCTCTCCCCTGCGGGGGCAGGAGGCAGAAGCTTGGTTCTGCGGCAGCCAAGCTTCCCCCCTCCCCCGCTCCTTCCTCCAGCGTGATGCTTTCCTGCCCCTCCTCCTCCCTCTCCCTGCGCCAATCAGCTGATGGCCCTAGTGAGGGGGCGGGGAAAGAGCAGCAGCATGCACACAGCTCTGTAGAGGAAGCAGAGAGAGGTAGGATGGAGCCTGGGGGAAGGGGGTGGAACAGGGCATATCCCTTCCCGCCCCCTTCCGTGAGCTGCTCAGGGCAGGGGGCTGGGAGCACCCCCATGATCCGAGCACCCCAGCCTTCTGCCCTGCACCCCCCACCACAACACATCCCCAGCCTTCTGCCCTGAACCCCCCACATCCCAACACACACCCAGCCTTCTGCCCTGCTCTCTGAACCCCCCCCCCCACCACACACCCCAGCCCTCTGCCCTGAACCCCTGAAACACCCCTCCCCCAGGTTTGGGGTCCCGGCCGCAGGCCCTGATCAGCCCGCTGCCGGCCTAGGTGAATAGAACCCCAGGCTGGCAGCGAGCTGAGCAGGCTGGTGGCATAAGATCAGCATTTTAATTTAATTTTAAATGACGCTTCTTAAACACTTTGAAAACCTTGTTTACTTTACATACAATAGTTTAGTTATATAATATAGATTTATAGAAAGAGACCTTCTAAAAACGTTAAAATGTATTACCGGCACGCAAAACCTTAAATTAGAGTGAATAAATGAAGACTCTGCACACCACTTCTGAAAGGTTGCCGACCCCTGTATTAGTATATTGGTTTGAAGGAGATAGTAGCCAATGACTTGGTGACACTTAGTGACATTGTTTGTTTAATAAACACTAGAGGTGGGTTAATAACACCAAAAAACCCTGCAAGTATTCACTATAATTTAAAAATGAACTTTTTGACTTTTCTGCTGTCCCGGTACACAACTTCTTTTGTTTGTTCAAATGATCATGGAAGGCAATCAAGTCTTTCTTGCATAAGTTTTCATAAAAAGTAAATTTTAAACTTGCCCTCTTGAGCATTTGAGCTGTAACTTAGAATCATAGAATATCAGGGTTGGAAGGGACCTTAGGAGGTCATCCAGTCCAACCCCCTGCTCAAAGCAGGACCAATTCCCAACTAAATCATCCCAGCCAGGGCTTTGTCAAGCCTGACCTTAAAAACCTC